TAAAACAACCATGCCAAGTAAAAGGGTCATGACTGGGGCAAGATGTTCTTTTCCTTTTGCTATAGAAACCTTTAAGAACACAAAACTACCTAATGGGGTATTGTTTCTGTAACTAGGGTAACGGGGCTCTGTTTCTGTAACTGGGGTGACTGGGCTAACTGTGATTGGTTAGGCTTCCCTCCRCTTGACTGCACTGTCCCGCTTCTGTAACCTGGCTTGCTTGCATTGGCTAGACCCCCYGAACATCCCTTTTGCGGTTTTCAGGCTTATAAGGAGYGCCCTTGCAATTGTTYGGGGCTGATCAGGGGAACAGCTTTATGTTCTGGTCAGCCRCCACTGGTGTGCTTCAATAAAGGCTTGATTCGATTATACGTGAGTGGTCTGGAAGTCAGTTTATGAAACCCTGGGATGAAGCTTTAACTATAACATTACTAAGAAAAACAAATAAAAAATTTTAAAAAGATACTTGAACCATACATAGTTCCAATGGTTTTGCTTCCAGTGAAATGAAAACAAATGAAAACTCAGGGACTTAATTTGCTCATCTCCAATGAAAGAGGGTTAAATTAAGTGGTCTGAGAATCTTTCTGTCCCGACCGGCAGGACACATCAATGTGGGCATCGAACCTAGATGGGGAGGAATGAAGAGACAAGAGACAGGAGGGATGACAGCAAGACAGGAGTTCTGATCAAGCTGCAAACTTTTATTGTGCACACAGGGGTATTTATATGCTGGGGATGGGGAAGCTCTCTAATCAGCAGTTGCTGGATGTCTTCACAAGGTGAGATAACTGCAGGATGTTTCAGGAAGACAGATGGCTGCAGGATGTCTCAGGGAGATAGATGGCTGCAGGATGTCTCCCAGGGGGCTGTTTCTTGTAACTGTCAGGCTATTCTTTGAAGGAGAACTTCCTTCTAGCCCCTGGCATCTTTCCATGCTAACAGGAATTAGTATTCATTGAACAGTTATAATGTAACAAGCATGATTTTGTTTTATTTGGGAACTTAACTACTCCCCCAACTCATGCAGATCTTCTATTATTGTTTTCCCTATATATGTGGGAAAACAACAACAACAACAGAGTACTAGAGAGGTTGACATGCTAAATCTATGTGTCTAAAMATTTACTCACAAAAATCAGATTTTGCCTCACACCAGAATGCTTTCTAGTTTTATATTGTTTCTGTGTACATCTGATAATTTTACCTTTRCCATCAATAGTAGTATATAGAATTTTTAATACATACATGATATTTTGTATTATAACAACATAGGGACAAATTTCTCTTACTCAAGAAAATACTAACTATGGAGTAAGAAAATGAGCTACATGTCTGTGAGTCCCTCTGTTGACCTTTCATTGCCATGTAGTACCCGATCATGGGGACAGTCTTAGAGATTAGAAGGTAATAACTACAATATGCTGTGACTCCACTTGACTGTCACTTCAGTTACATCATAAGTCACTGGGCGAGGCAGTATTATCTTCTTTTTGCAGATAACATCCAAGGTTTCAGCTAATATCCAGTCAGTGAATCATCCATATTATTTCTATGATAATTTAAATAATTTTAGTTTTAGGAGAGACTAAAGAAAATGAAAATCCTAAAATACTAACCACAAGCATAGACTTTTGTAGACAACTGAACCTAATAAGAAATATTCTTTTTATTCAAGTGTAATTTAAATATCTATTGATTGTTTGATTGATTCATAATTAATTCATTCAACAATCATTTGTAAACACAGGCTAAGTTGATGTAGTAAGTATAAGCTGCAATTTGAAGAAGATTGACAAGGGAGAGTGAGTAGTAACTTGAAGAGGAAGTGAGAAAGATTATTTTGGACCAGAGGGACAGGATAATGGCGTGGTGACATTATTATAGACACAAGCTGGTTGATATAAAAGTCCTAGTGTCTCAAGATGCTTTCTCTCTATTAGGGAATAAAATTTCTATACCCAGTGTGTGTGTGTGTGTGTGTGTGTGTGTGTGTGTGTGTGTGTGTGTGTTTGCATGCGCATGCACCTGAAACGGGAGGGTGGGGAGATATCTGCTGGAGTTACAGAGACCTTTGTCTCCATCACTCACCTGCTGTGACCCAGGACTTAGAGCGGTTGGGTCAGTCTTTCTATCTGGAGGGCAATCATGAGGACTGAAGTGACAATGTGTACCAAGTATCTGCAGGGTTTAGCCATAAGGCTACCAGATGGCCATATATGGGGAGAATATAGAATGGGAAAAATTTTTGCCACATGTTATTCTCAAAACAAAGCAGCATTAAGTATTTAAATTTCTAACTGAAGACCATTTCAAGATTTGTAAGACAAAAAATAAATTAAAAAATCCAACTCGAATGGATATATATAAAACTGAATAGCTTATTCTTTTTTCCAAGCACAAAAAAATAAGAAAGAAGATTGAAACTACAAAATTGAATTTARTATGGAAAACACAAACATACTTGAGGTCTTCCACAGAGCAGCCAGGGTGAAGCAAACAGGAAAATCACAGAATAAGTTGCATGCTAGGAGAGTCACGTTGACGTAGTCACACTCACGAGAGCCCTCTTAAGCCTATGATTCTCCCAGCAGATGGAGGATAGAGGAGTAATTTTCACAAAATTATATCCAAAATGGAAATTTCAGAGGAAGAAGATACTCCCAGAGAAGGACAGTTTTACTATGTTTTAATCTTGGAAACTATGCTAAATCCAGGCATTGCTAGGATTGGGTTGGAAAACAGAATCCCTGTTTTTCTGTTCTTGATTTTTGTTTTCTTTTTTTACTCTAAAGTAATCACGCACTAGCACCAGCTCAGAAGTTCCATGTGTATATTGTTGGTTGTGCTATGAATACGTAACTGCTTAACCATGACTTAATTTTAAAATCCTGGGTTATTTTAGGAAGAAATTTAACAAAACAAAACAACAACAAAAAAAGTGGTTTTAAGCAACCAGTTTCCAATCCACGTCAGCAATCCTAACATGTAAGGAAAYGTTTCTAGCCTTTGGGGTAATGGCTCAGGAGTTGGACCAGGAGAAAGTGGTGGGCTCTTCTAGAGAAGGAGGGACCAACTGGGCCTGACCTATGWGGGACCCTCAAGGTCAGCTTCCAGTTTCCAGAGAGGTTCTGCTTTTATCTGGTTTACAAATTGTTCAAGTAAAGGATATTCTGGTTTACAAATGTTTGAAAACCTCTAAAGCAGAATATGTAGCTCTTGCCAGATTAGACATTTTATGAGACTCTTCCAGGGTGATTGTTAGGCTATTTCTTGCCCAATCCCCTGTAGTTGCAGTCTGCTTTCTTGAGTTAATTCAGTTAATTCAGTACCCCTTGTTTCCCAGCCCCCAGGGGGGACCTCTCCACACCAACCAGGTTCTCCAGCTATCAGGGTGTGTCAGACGCCCCTTGACTTTTAAAACACAGTCTGTGTCCAGCTTCTAATTCACAGAGCCCCTCTGGCTACCTCCCTCACGGGAAGTGGCTTGAGCCACCTCWTCACTGATGTCCTTTGGAGTCCTCCCCACCCTCCATGTGATGTCCACCAGAAGGAGACTTCGTTTTTCTGAGAATTTCTTCCCATTCCTATGACCCTCTCCAGCTTACGTATTATTCCACTTAGATGAGGAAGTTGGTGGCTAAATGATTAGAGAGGAAATGATGAGAGTGATTTCAAATCAATCTGAGATACATTGACACATCATTTATAAATAAGATATTGGGCTCGATGTGGCAAGCAAAACAGAAATCCACAAGGTGAGGAAAGTCTTGAAAAAGCAAGCYTGACACAGCAGTCAAGGTGGGAGACACCTCGAGGTGCCTCAGTGGGGAAATGGAGGCAAATGTTAACTCGAGGTCTCATTTAAACACTTTCAAAGGAGAAGGATGCAGCAAGGGTAGAGGAAGCTACAACAACCGACCAGCTTTCCTCACTAAGGATGGTATGAATACCATGAGGGGTACGCAAGACAATTTGATATGGACCACTCACATTGGAGTGTGAATATTTCAGTACACAACTATGCATTTATTTTACTATGAAGGACATGTTGATAAGATCTTTTGAATAGCTGGATGCATAAATACATGAATGAATGCATCCATGAAAGAATAAATAAATGCTATGCACGCCAAAGGAAAAAAGATGTGCTCAAGCTGAGGGGAAAAAAGATGTGCTCAAGCCGAGGGGAAAAAAGACAAAAATAAGACCCTTGCTTTGCACTTGGCCTCTTGACAGCCCCTGCCTCACCTGGTATTTTTGGACCGGTTTTAGAGAGGATCCTGTTTGTCCCGTAATGCYGATGGGCAGGGTCTACATGATGCTYGGGCAGGGAGTTATCTCATATCCCACTTGTGGATGAGAGTTCTTCTTGGGCAAGGGTCTCAAATCTTAGGCCTGAATAAAGATTAAGGGAGACCCCAGTGCAGTAGCCAGCAAACCAGGAAGCTTAACAAAAGCAGACAGGAGAGCCCGTGTAAAATGAGTGAGGAGCTTAACTTCAGTTAGTGCAGRGTGCCTTAAGGCACAGTGTCAGAAATTTCACCCTCTGCCCCAGGGAAGGGTGTGAGCCCACACCTGYAGCACTTTATGAACAGCAGGAAGAAAAAGGCAAAACACTTTTTTTTTTTTTTAATGGCCATGCTACTTTGTTCCTGTGTCTATAATGGATCCTTTCTCAATTAAGATGGACATGAACTAGAGAAAACAACTGTTCAAATGGTAAAAAAAAAAAAAAAAAAAAAAAAGAATGTCCCCTTCACACATGTCCCATTTGATATTAATCATGGGATTACAACATCAAGCTAATCCAAATAATCTGCTTGGAGTCACCATTTCTGATGATTGCTCAGGCTATTCATTGCTAATCAAGAGGATGTTATGAAATGTGAGTCATATGGCCTCAAGCTTTCTGGGAGTGCTAGTCTGTATATAAAGAGGGAAAGTCTGAGCTGAGATATTGGAGCCAAGGGCAGGTAGGTGCCCTCCATTGTCTTGCCTTGAGGAGGAAGACAAAGGCCAGCATGCTCTGCTTTTCTCTGCTGCTGCTACTGCTCTGGGACGTGGGGTCTCATGGTTTCCCAGCATCTGTAGAAACACAACAGCAGGATGTGGAGATCGTCCAGGTAAGTGCTGCGTTACACACGCTAGAAATGCAAATCTCTGGTTTGTATTTTTCTACTGCAGTAGAATGGAGTTAATTTAAGGGAGCATTTCCTACAAAGACAAATGATTTGTGTTAGAAACGGGATCCTCCCCAAATTGTATCTAGCCAAGTGCCGACTCTCCTTTTCCAGTTGGAGGTGAGAAAGAACTGCAGAAACAGGATGCAAATCTTGGTCTACTGGGACGTTTGAACTTTTCAGTAACATGATGGGGAGATTTCTACTCTGAAATTGCATTTTTCCACCAATGATAAGAATAACAATAATCATGAACTCTAAGCAACAGCTTTTAAAAAGTTTCTCTATTTTGGTTAAAACTTCTTTGCTCTCGGTTTTGTTTGTTTGTTTGCTTGTTTTTGTTTTTTTAATGAGAAATGTTTCCTATTCAGTGTTTCAACAATTATGTCTTTTATCAGAAATACCTGGAAAACTACTACAATTTGAAGAATGAGAGACAAATTGAAAAGCAGAGAAGCAGTAGTAGTTCAGTGGTGGAAAAGCTGAAGGAAATGCAGGAATTCTTTGGACTGAAAGTGACTGGAAAGCCAGATGCTGAAACCCTGAAGGTGATGAAGCAGCCCAGATGTGGGGTGCCTGATGTGGCTCGGTTTGTCCTCACTCAGGGGAACCCTCGTTGGGAGAAAACACATCTGACCTACAGGTAACCAGACTGGGTACCAGAATGAGGAACTATTTCCCATTCAAATGGTAACAAATAAGATCCAATGGGTCTCTRTTTTATTTCATTCAAAGGATTGAAAATTACACACCAGATTTGTCAAGAGAAGATGTGGACCACGCCATTGAGAAAGCCTTTCAACTTTGGAGTAATGTCTCACCACTGACATTCACCAAAATCTTTGAGGGCCAAGCAGACATAATGATTTCCTTTGTCAGAGGAGGTAAGCTGTTCGTGCAGCATGAAAACATCCTCAGTTTAACTTCATTTTGCCCCTAAATGTCTCTAGTCTTGCAGCTGGAACTCCTTGTTGAAGAGGACTGTTGATTTTATGGGCTGAGGGAGGGAAACCTCATCACACCTGATGGAAGGCTATTGGTCTCTTAACAAGCTAATGTTTGCTCTCTTAACTTAGCTGGAATGAGAGCCCAGAGGGCCCTGGATTGATTTCTGTTTTACAGACCATCATGACAACTCTCCCTTTGATGGACCTGGAGGAAACCTCGCTCACGCCTTCCAACCAGGCCCAGATATTGGAGGAGATGCTCATTTTGATGAAGATGAAAGGTGGACCAAAAACTTCAGAGGTAAGTCAACTAGTTTTGTTTTTCTCTATTCCCCGCTCCTTCACAATTCATCATAATATTGGTTAATTTAACCAACAGAATACATTAATAGAAGCTGGTATTTTTCTATTACCGTTCAGAAACTTAATGGTAAGTTTAGAAAAGTGAGAGGTTATTTCTGCCAATACAGCATCTAATTGGTGACAAATAGGCCTCTCTAAAATTTTCATTAAGAAAATATTGGGGCTGGGGTTTTGGCTCAGTGGTGGGGTTTTGGCTCAGTGGTAGAGTTCTTGCCTCACATATGTGGAGCAATGGGTTTGATCCTCAGCACCACATAAATAAATTTATAAAATAGAGGTATTGTGTCCATCTACAACTAAAATTTTTTTWAAAAAAAAATAAAAGATTAAAGCTTAATGTTTTGTTTGTGGACATCTCCACTGAATCTTCTCTATTTGAAAGACAACAAAATTTAACAGTAGTTATAAGCACATGGGAAAATTAACAGAAGGAAAGGCTTTCTGTGTTTCCCAGAATTTTCAGCATTTTATCAGTTTCAAAAATAATAAAAAATATTAAATATTAATAGAACTATATTGCTTCTCTGTGAAATAATATCTGCCAGCTAATCATTAACAAGATTGGCTCATCTGTGCTAGACTCTCAGCCAGAGGGTTTGTCTTAATTTTATCTGTTATAACAACAGAACTTAGGCTTGAACATGTCCCTTTATTAATAATGTGTAATTCTCACCTTCAGAAAAGTTATTAGAAGTGTGTGTGTGTATTTCATCAACAAGAAAATATGAGCATTGGTCTTTGCAGATMTGTAGATTATTTCTTAATCAAATGCCTCAAAGCTGAATACATTTCAAATAATTTAAATGGGTTCATTGACTCTTTAGATTACAACTTGTATCGTGTTGCGGCTCATGAATTAGGCCATTCTCTTGGACTCGCTCATTCTACTGATATTGGAGCTTTAATGTACCCCAACTACATCTTCAGTGGTGATGTTCAGCTTGCTCAGGATGACATCAATGGCATTCAAGCCATATACGGTGAGTAAAAATAAGAGTGTAGTAGACAGGAGCCTATTGGTTTCGTACCTACTTCACAGGAAAGAGCCATTGGTTTCATAGTTTAATAGTTCTAACACTAGGCAAAACTAACTCCAGGCCTTTTATTTTCTTTAGGATCTTCCCCAAATCCCACCCAGGCAACAGGCCCACAAACCCCAGAAGTGTGTGACAGTAAGCTAACCTTTGATGCCATAACTACAATTCGGGGAGAACTGATGTTCTTTAAAGACAGGTAAGATGCCACTTCTTTGTGTTCTGCATTCACCACTATGTGTGACCAACATGCTCCATGTATTATTTATCTTATCTTTGTTTACATTTATAACTACAGAGCAGCAATTGCTTGCATTTGTACAATGTAACATTGCAACTTTGTTTTTGCCCATGTGTTAAGTCATTTGATTCTTAGAAAATACCAATGAAGTAGAAAATCAGTAACTATCAGCCCACTTTACAGATCAGTAAATTAAGGCAGAGAGAAGAAAAGAGAAACCTTTTTGGGGCACTAGAGCTAACTAGTGACAGAGTAATTATTGGTCTTCTGACCCCTTATCCAGGGTCACATTTCATTATGCCCGTCTGATTGTAAGTAAGGTAGGACTTCAGTAGGAGTAGTCAGTCCTTTCTGCAACATTATCACATTAATGAGGCTCATGGGCTTCTTGACAGTGTTTAAGTATAGCTAATGAGGTTACATATTCCAGTCCCTACAAACTGCAGAATCAACTTTGTGTACCACCAATCAAAGGACAAGGGAGTCCCTGCCAGAACTGGRTTTAAATTTAGACTTTGCCTTTTACCAGCTGTGTGGCCTTAGAAGCCTCCCCTACTCCCACTAACTCAATTTCTCATCCATGAGATGTGAGTCATACTCATGTCAGGTTTTTGTGATAGTCACGATATAGGTAGAAAGCCTTAGTGTGTTGTAAGTACAATTGGCTCTCCAAATCTGGAAGTTCCACCTCTACAGATTCAATCTCAAGTCCATTGATCTAACCAATATATTTTTTTAATTGCTCCTCTACTGAATCCATACATATTGTATATTGTTATTCCTAAACAACTATTTATATTGTATTAGGTATTATAAGTAACCTAGAGATGATTTAAAGCATGTGAGAAAGTTCACGGGATATATGAAGAAATGACACCACTTTATACAATGGATTTGAGCATCTGCAGATTTTGGTATCCACAAGGGGTCCTGGCACCAACCCCCTGCAGATGCCTAGGGATGACTATATTTACTAAATACAGGGTATCAGTGTTGTGTTCCAAGTAGCAATGTACTGCAGCTGGCTCCTAATGGCTCACCAAAGTTGACTTAAATTTTGCAAGTTTGTTGTGAACCATAGCCATTATTCAAAATTAAATCATATAAAAAATAAAATAATGAAAACATCCCTCCATGGTTATTTTAACCAGATTTTACCRTTAATTCTTGTATTTGAGGTTATTCATGCCGATTGTATTTTTATGGTAGAAATACTATACAATGGTGCTCTGTTCTGACTCTTGAAATTTGCCATGGTGGGAATATTTTCACCAAGGAAATAAGCAACTGCTAGAACCTTCCATGCCTGGCCCCTCCTTTGGAAAGCCAGATGTTAAACATTTACAAGTGCACCACAAGTGCCAGCAACTAAAAGGAGCTGGAAGTCAGCCAGAGATAATTAGAAACTAGAGAGAAACCTTGCTTTCTTTTGTTTTCAAAACAGATTCTACATGCGTGCAAATTCCTTCTACCCAGTTGAGCTCAATTTCATTTCTGTTTTCTGGCCACATCTGCCAAATGGACTTGAAGCGGCTTATGAACTTGCTGATAGGGATGAAGTCAGGTTTTTCAAAGGTAATGCTCCTGATTATTTTTCACTGCTTTGATGAATTATTTTTCATCTACTTTTGGGTTGAGATATGAAGATACCAGCTATATTCTCACCATGAAGTTCTGAAAATTCAATAGTCTCACTAATGGGAATCCAATAGTTCAATTAAAAATTGCATCAGGAATTTCTGAGTCATTTTAAATAAATTGCAAATGACTGGAGATAAAAAGAGTTCAGGCCTGTTTATGAATCTGGACTTAGAACATGTTTTCTGTGAAAACTATTCATGTATTTTAAACTCCCTTCATATTTCTAGGAAATAAAAGTGCTCAGGAATAAAAGTGAGAAAGATGATCCCATTCTAGAGAGATAAAACAAAGATTTTGTTTGTGCAAGTTCCTGAATCCTGTTTTAATTTGAACCCCAACTTAAGATAASGGAATGCCACCATTGGGCAGCCAGATGGTGGCACTGATACCCTGCTGTCCAGATGTGGTCTTCCGATAGTGGCACTGGCTTCACTGGACTATCAATTACAATCATAGAACCCCAAGTCCTATCCAGACCTTCTTTGACCAAATTGAATTTTAATAAATTCCCCAGGCAATTCATTTGCATATTAAAATATGAGAAGGCCTGAATTATTATGAAGTGAATTAGACAAATTTGTTTGATTCTATTAGAATGAAATAGAGTCCCATGCTCCTGACATTGAAGACACTAGGCCAAACACATGTTCTTTTGCAAATTTTTGTACAGGTGTTTAGCATCATATAGACACATGTTAAGACACTTGATGCAGTCATACACTCAAGGCAATGATTTTAAAGTAGTTCAGATGGGCAAAACACTTTGAAACAGAATTTCTAGTTTTCATTTTATGAAATTAATTAGGAATTTACATGTGCAAAGTATCAAACTGATTTTTTGTGAGGAATAAATAACCATAGTGAACAAGAGCTATTATGGTTCTAGGACATAAGACTAGTTTTATGTGATATGGGGTTTATTGAGTATAAACATGTACAGCATGAATTCACATACTCATAATTGTAGTCTAGTCAGATACAATGAATTCAATACAGGATTGCAAGTCATTTGAGATTGTGAGTCATTGCTGTGCTCTGCCCTTCGTATAGCATTGTCGTGAACTTCCACTTGAACTTTGTATCACTGAGGTAGTATGACAAATTAGCCATTGAACATCTGGCATTGGAAAAAAGCCTCCATCCCATAAACAGGTCATTCTCAAAGCTTGCTTCAGGTTAGATCCACCTAGGAAACTTAAAAAAAAATACTGATTTAGTGGTTCAGGAAAGGATCCCAGCATCAGTATTGTAAAAGTCTCCCTAAACTATTCTAACCTGCAGCTAGGACACTGCTGTATCTTGCAAAACTATTAACTCAGTGGAAACATAGTTTACAGTCTACTGGAGCCCTGGACAATTATTTTCATCTCTGGTTTTTGATTGGCAGGAAATAAGTACTGGGCTGTTCAGGGGCAGGATGTGCTACGTGGATACCCCAAGGACATCTACAGTTCCTTTGGCTTCCCTCGAACTGTGAAGCATATTGATGCTGCTGTTTCAGAGGAAGACACTGGAAAAACCTACTTCTTTGTCAATAACAAGTGCTGGAGGTAAAGACAGAACACAAGAACTATTAGGGCACCAATTCTTTCTAGGCAGAAAATTCTACATGTACCCTTCTCAAAATGAGTCTCAAATTGTTTTGGACACCTGCCTCTTCTGTGATTGGCTGTATCCAAACCAACATCCATTTAGTTAATTGAACAATACCCATGACTCAATTCCTGTGCTCAGAATACAAATAATAGGTGATGCTGAATTTTGAAAAGATTTGAACATAAGAGCATTTATCTTGATAGAGCTTTGGCCAAGGAACTTACCTTTCATAGCATCTTACCTTAATAGGACATAGAACTTACTAGATAATTAATATAAGATGTTGAATTTCAGAGGAAGCTTATAAATCTTCTAGACCACCCAACATTCTACCTCTCCCCATCTAGGTCCCCATTTTACAATCTCTAGAATTTAACAGTTCTTGTTAACTTCTGCTAAATTTYCTGTAGTGTCTTTGAGTTTACATGTTTAGCAAAAGGTTCTGACACCCCAATTCCTTTTTGATTAGATATGATGAGTATAAACGATCCATGGATGCAGGTTATCCTAAAATGATATCTCACGACTTTCCTGGAATTGGCAATAAAGTTGATGCTGTTTTCAAGAAAGATGGTAAGTGAATCTAACAGTCTATACTTCATTTTGTTGCCATAGTGATAGAATCAGTACATTATTTAGAACAGCAAAGGCCAAAAATAATTGGTGCTGATTTTGGTAGATTCAAGTCAAACCTGGAAACTTCWTGTATAATTTGATAAATCTCTTTTCTTTCATTTCTAGGATTTTTCTATATCTTCCATGGAACAAGACAATACAAATTTGATCCTAAAACAAAGCGAATTTTGACTCTCCAGAAAGCCAACAGCTGGTTCAACTGCAGAAAAAATTGACAAACTGTTACAAAGTTAATGAAAAAATGTACTTTGTGAGCCTAAGAAAGGTGTTTTCCTGAAGAGCCATGTATTTTTCAGTATTTTATTTAACTTCTAGAATCACTAATACGCAGCTACTAAGTATAACCTTATTTATACTTTATTTTACATATTTTTTACAATTTAGTATTATGTTTTTATTTACTAATATAATTTAATTCCACAAATGGTGGCAAAAGCCGATCAAGTTCATGGYTTATGAATTCACATATCCCAGTGTTACAAAGAAGATCATTTCCATAGTATAAGAGCGTGACATTGGTCCTGGAGATCAGCCTCAGTGCTCTTCTTTAAAAAAAAAAAAAGTCAAAAGATGTGAACTGTTACTGGAGGAAAAGCAACACCTGAGCCATCATTAGTATCATCCTGACACACAGGGACAACTCTTACACAAAATAAAGTGATATTTGCAATAAGGCCAACCTTGTCTCTACTTTTTTTTTTTTATAAACATTCTATTACCTTTACTATACTGTTATTTCCTGATTATAAAGCCATATGTACAGAGATTAAATTTTAAATTTGAAGTGGAAAGTAAATCATATACAAAATATTCATGTGGGAAATTAATATATCCCCAAATTTCAAATTTATATATTCTTGTGGAATTTATTTCACATATAGGGGGGAAAAATCATTCTCCAAGTTCCATTTAATGACCCCAAAGTTGGTTTTAGATAAAATAGGTGAAGGCATGATAAGCTTTCTGAGTAGAAGTCACTTTCTTTTCTGAGCATGTGTGAAGATTATATTTTCCCTGTCCTACCCCTTACAGTTACGAGGTGTGGGGCTGAGGATGGTGGGAAGTGGGGCAACTAACAAGTTCTGACCAAGGGTTGTATGAAGTGGCAAAGTCACTTCTGGACAGAACTCTTGAGTGATAGTGCCAAGATTTCCAGCAGTCTACTCCCCTGCTGTGGTGATGGTAGAAGCATGTCATGAGAGACTTGCCACAAGATGAAAGAAGCCAGAATTGCTGGGTTACCATTCCCACCAGTTACCCCCCACTTTAGTAGACTTCACTTGAGGAAGAAAAAACTTACTATGCTAAGCCACTAAAATTTTAGATTTTGTTAATGCTGCATAATCTAGTTTGTCTAGATAAAGCATTATCTAGTTTATCATGACTAATTTGGGAAGAAGTTAATGGAGGTAGGAGTCCTTTCAGTAGCTTCCAAGGCTCATGAGTTTTGTGAATAGTTCAAGGACTTTGTAGGCTTTGCAAGTACATAGAGAGTCTTGAAAATGTTATGAGGAATGCACGATTCTAACCAGTTCCAAACTAAAGATTTTGATAGTATAACTTCTCCTTTGGCCAAAATAAGTCAGTCACTCAGTGTCTGTCTGTTTGTCTCTCTCAAATAAACTTTTAAATATTGAACTATAACATAAATGCAGAAAAAAAATGCAAAAATCATAAATGTTCATCTTGGTGTCTTATCATAAAGTTAGCAAACTCTCAGCCAGGTCAGGACACAGGACATCATCAATGCCACAGCAGCCTCCTTGAGGGCCCCATGAGTGCTCCACTCTCCATGAGGTTGATTCATTAGAAGCAGAGCCTGGAACAGAGATTCTTTGATGAGGTCATAGGGGGAGAGTACCCTCTGGAGAAGAGGAATGAGGGAAACTTTGACAGCAGGAGGAAAACTAGACTGTGGTCTCAGTGGGGATCTAATTTCATGAGAAGACTATGAAACAAAATCAGAATAAGAAAGTTAGTCCCATCCTGAGGCAGAGGGGCCAGGCTTTTGTATTCCTGTGTAAACCAGTCATCAGTCAAGGTCTGGTTGGGGAAGGGAGCATAGTTATCCCGGCAAGATGTTTCCATTTGACAAAGGAACTAACTGTAAGTTGTAAATAACCAATTCTTGCAGTAGCCAGGAGGATGGATGCCCTGATAATAAAGAGATCTGAGGAGGGCTCCAACAGCACCTACTGCACATTATCTAGTCCTAAGGATGACCACCATGCTGACTCCTAACACCTTAGGTTAAATTTGCCTCTTTTTCAACTAAACTGGATGTGGCATGAATTTCCTTACTCTGTCTTACTGTGATTAACATTATGTTTCTGCACTTTATCATTGTTGGTGGGCCTCAGGTTATTAGCATTAGGGGAGTTTATAAGTAATACTGCACATTTGCAGGCATTTCTGTCAATTATCTGCCTAAAAGTGCAGTTGCTGAATCACAGAGATTTTCAGACACTTCGGGTTCTTCCTCAGACTCACCTGTCTTTTGTCCCAGCGGCAGCAGTGGACCCTGGTTCTAACCTTCGCTGTTTGGGGTAGGCCTATGCAGTATGCTTCCTGCTTCCTGTTCCAAAGCTTTCCTGGMTTTTCTGCTGATGTTGCATGAGGGTCTCCTGTGGTACCTTAACAGGTCTTAAGACCTGTCTCAAGAGGACTCTCTAGAGTAGGAGCAGTGCTTCGGCAGTGGTGGCTGTGGTGATGTTCTAATCATATTGGATAAAAGTGATGTTGAGGGTTAAGTGATAACTGAAGCAGACCCCATTCTTGAAAATGGAAACTGTGAGCCAGCCAAGAATTCTGAGTCTGTTGGACAAAGTGCCACAGCAGAGAGTAAATTGGAACCTGTAGTGTCCACTCAGAAAAGACCAGAGGTCAAACCTTCTAGTGATCCTGAAACTTCAAAAGTTTTCTCTGGATTGGGGCATTTCTGACTGGACCATTAGCAGAGAAGGAAGAAGAAGAAGAAAACAATCGGAGGCAGAAAATACTGAGGAAGTCAATAAAAATTCAGTAGAGGATGTCCATRCCTTTGCAATCTGCTGCCTAGCAGAATTGACTGCCTGCTCAGTGACCTGTTTCACAAAACAGCAGCATTGGTTCTGCATGGCTGGAAGCAGGAAGTGACAGACATAGAAAAAAGCCAAACTCTTTCCCAGAGGACAGTTGTATTGTGCAAAGAGTTGTCCTTTCTGTCTAAAGAGTTCACCACCTGTCTAACAACTGCTGAGATCAAAGAAAAGGCAGAGGTCCTGAACCCCTTAATCACAGCAGTCTTTCTAGARCATCAATGGTGCCATCTACATCCAGGATGCCTTTCAGCTACTTTTACCTTGTGCTGCAGGTCTCTCTCATTAAGAACAAGACAGAATTACCCAGGCAGGAGTTGCAAGTCCAGAGGCTTGCAGAACATTGAAGAATAAAGGAGATTTGATCTAGGATTTGTGATGGCTAACAAGTGCCAAATTCTTCAAGGACCCCCACAGGAATGAATGAGAAAGGTTATTTTTAATATATAAAAATTCAGACAGGAGAACAGGTTTAAGAAGAAGTTTGTTTCTTCACTTGGCTGAAGTAGTCAAGTCCTCTCACTATTCCCAGTTGTTATAATAAATAAATTATTTGAAAAGAAATTTTTGTAAAAAGTCCAAGAATAATAGCTCTAGATAAAATTTAGTGGGACACTAAGGAAAAAAAAAATGTTGATCTACTTTGACATGTTGCAAAACACTAATATAATCTATAGTCCGTAGATAAAATTGGTGTAATACAGAAGAAAAAGAACTTAATTTGGCATTCTAGAATTTACAACATGCTWGGTTAATTAATGTCATGTACTTTCTCCTTTCTAGAATAAAATCTATGACTTTAAGAAAACTGAACATAAATAAACTCTAAAATGATTATCTTTAATCATGTGAATTCTTGGAAATGGTTAGGAAGTTTCATCTGCTCTTTAATTCTCAGTACCTATTTGACATTGAAGAGAAACTTGCAGAATATTATACTTTCGTGGGCACATGAATGAACTATAGCAAAGGCCCCTTTGCCTTCAAATGASTCCACCATGATGACCAGGTTCAAGTCATAGCTGATCCCTACTCAACTGGATTTAAGACCAATAAGTGCAAATTAGAGAAACAGTTTCATATTTTAGACACTCTGAGCGTCTTTAGGTTGTTTTTCATACATACCTCATAAACAGGATAAATTTGGTCACAACCAAGCCTAAGGAAGTGTTGAGGCTCTTTAGCATGCTTTTAAATACAACTTTTATCCTGTAAATCTTAAGCCCTTTTTTGCTTTCTTCAACAACTAAAAGATATTTTGGTATATGTTATTAAAAAACAAGTTCTCCACTTTGTGTTTTTTTTTTTAATGATTCAGGCAACATTTTTGTGAGCTCTGCCCCTCATATAACCTTTTATTTTAAACCTTATAAAAGGTTTAAGATAAAATATAATTGTACCAATGTAAAAAAAAAAAGGAGGGCTCTCAAACAATGCCATATGATCAACACATTCTTGTATCTCTAACTGGTTGACAGTTCACCTTTGTATTATCTCTCTCATGTTCCCTGCTTGCTCTTCCTGTTCTTGAATCAGCTTCTAGATCATAGGTCCCAATACATACTTATTCTTTGTCCTGGGCTCTGCTCTCTGGGAATGCCAGATTAAGTTTATTCTGGAAGTGGGGTTGTAATACCCCAGTAGCTAGGGGGCACACAGTTACTAAGATTCTTACCACAAAGGTGAATGGTGAGGTATAGAGTTATCTGGTAATTGCACTTCAATAATATGAGAGGGAKGATAATTACAAAAAGTGAGGAGTGGGCTGGATTACTATTCTGGGAATTTGTAAAAGAAAGTAGCATGTTCAGGGAAGCTGAATATCCAATAAGACACAGCAAATACCAACAGTCATTACTGGTAACATTAAAAGAAATCCTCATCTATCATAAATTGTGATGACAAGCAGTTCCTGACCTGGGGGCAAAGTTGTTCACATCCTAGTTGGAGTGATAAATGAACAAATCTGGAAACCTTAAACACTTCAATTTCTCAGAAAATTCCACACAGGCAGAAGTAGTACCTCTTTCTTCCCAGAAGAGAGCAATCTGCCCTTGCATAGGGAATTAAAGATCTTATCTGGGATGATATTTCACAAGATAATGCTTGTCCTGCTCCCAAATTACCTTCCTCATCCCTTCTTGATCTCAGTAAAATAACTAAGATAAGGTCTCAGGATAGTTCAAATCTTTAGCTACTGTCAGAGAATAGTTTATAAATCAAAGGAATTACAGGAGCTGGACAACATCAAGTACCATAAAGAAACCCAGGGAATGTGTAGGGAAGTTTTTTTTTTATTTTAAAGGTTGTTGGAACAAGGTGGGGGGACTTAAGGCTGGACAGGGGAGAATTTATTGACACAGGAATATTTATTTGATATTGGAGATTCAA